CTCGCTTTGTAGATCATTGTGGCCTCAAATCCACAGAAGTCCACCTGCCTCTGTCTCCCAGAGTGCTGGGATTACAGGCATGTGCCACTCTCCTGTCATAAGGTTGATTTTCTAACAACCCCTATTCAGTTTCATCATGCAGTGGTGTGGTAGTTTCTTGCCTAAATTTCTCTGTCTGTGACTGATATTTTTCTTATTTTAATTTATAAATCTTTCTGAGACTTGTATCTTATGAATCCACTTTTCATATTTGGCACAAAAAAATCCACTATGGCTCTAAAGGATAAAATATAAATTACCAGATGGATAGTAAAATACAACATAATGCCAATCTCAGTTAAGTCATTTATCTTTTCATTTCCTGCTTCTATTTTCAAGTCATCTAAAGTAGCACTATATAGGGTTCTAACACTTTGTATTATGGTATTTACCATCCCAACTCTCCTTGAGGATTTCCCAGGTGCCTTGTAAATCTGATGGCTTCTCATTTCTCCGAAGCTGACATGATTTCTCTGTCTGTATAGTCATGGCCATACAACATTGAGCACCAAATGTTGTTTTTAACAAAATATCAATTGGTTGATTTTACCAATAAAGATTAGGGAGCCAGAAACTAGGGTAAAAGCCTCCTAGGTCAGAGGGGCAGAGAAATCTCCCAGTTGACCTTCCTTTTTAGTTGATGTCACAGAAGGCAGGATGCTCCTTTCCCAGTCCCATAATGGGGAATGCTTCTTCCCCACACCATCTCAAAAAACAAACAAACAAAAACCTCAAACTGAATGCCCCTCCCTTCCACTTCCTGTGCATCCTCTATCCTTCCTCCTGACTTCCTTTTACTCTCTATGGTTCTTTTTCCTTCTTTTTTTATTTCATTTTTTATACTCCTGTCCCCTCCAGGTCCTTCTATCTACCCTTCCTTTCTTCCATAAGACTCCCTGCCCTCTGCCCAAAGTTTGCCTGTCAGTCTCTGCACCTTCTTCAATCCCCTGTTGGGTGGAGTCTTTCAGAAGACATCTATGGTAGGCTCCCATCCTGTTCCCTCTCTTCTGCCACTTCCAGTATCTAACCTGTTTGCCATTCTGAATGAGAATTAAGCAACCCCCCTAGAGTCTTCTTTATAGTGTAGCTTAGCTTCTTTAGGTCTGTAGATTGTAGTATGCTTATCCTATTTAATATAGCTAATATCTGCTTATAAGTGAATATATACCATGCATGTCTTTCTGCTTCTGGGTTACCTCACTCAGGATGGATGATCTTTTCTAGTTCAGTATTTATCATCCTGCACAAAATTAAAATTCAAGTGGATCAAAGACCTCAACATAAAACCAGAAACACTAAATCTGCTAGAAGAAAAAGTGGGGAAGAGCCTTGAACTCAGCACAGGAGACAACTTCCTGAAGAGAACACCAACAGCACAGGCTCTAAGATCAACAATGAATAAATGGAACCTCATGAAACTGAAAAGCTTCTGTAAAGCAAAGAACACTGTCCACAGAACAAGATAACAACCTACAGACTGGGGAAAGATCTTCACCAACCGTACATCTGACAGAGGCTAATATCCAGAATATATAAAGAACTTAAGAAATTAAACACTAACAAACCGAATAATCCAATTAAAAATGGGTTACAGAGCTAAACAGAGAATTCTCAAGAGAAAAATATCAAATGGCAGAGAAAAACTTAAAGAAATGCTTAACGTCCTTAATCATCAGGGAAACGCAAATCAAAATGACTCTGAGATTCCATTTTACATGGATCAGAATGGCTAAGATAAAAAACACACAGAAAGGGACAGCCTCTTTCCTGTGGGAAACTGACAAGTCTTCGGAGGAAAAAAGCTAATTATAAATTTGTATAGTTGCAGGCTGAGGCGCTTGTGAATGAACAAATTGTTGCAGCCATGGCCCATATTTCTCTCTTGCAGCGTGTCCTTCCTGAAATTGTTCGTCCAAGATGACTTCCTTGGGAGATGGGCTGTCTGTACAGACATTCCTTTCTGTGCTGATGGGTAACAGTTGGTCAAGGTCATTTGTAATCCTGTTTTTTACATCCAAGGCACTGAATCACTCACCCCCTTTGATAGGGAAAAACTATCTACTTTTCTTGCATTGTACAGAAAAAGTTTTCAAAATAGACTTAAACAGGTCTGGTGAAAAAAAAAAAACACTACCCAATAAAATGCTAAGGAGATTACAGGAAATAGATTATTATAACTACATTAATTAATAGGAACTACACAGGATGGTGATTGGTTGTCATGTATACATTTTAAATAACAATAAGCAGAGCAAGGTGCTAGAACAAGAAATAACTTCAAAGGTTCCTCCAATTTATGTATTCATTTATGTATTTATGTATTTATTTGTTTTGGTTTTTCAAGACAGGGTTTCTCTGTATATCTCTGACTGTCCTGGTCTCCCATTGTATACCAGACTGGCCTTAAACTCAGAGATCATCTGCCTCTGCCTCCTCAGGGGCTGGGATTAAAGACGAATGCCACCACTCCTTGGCAACAATTTTTTTTAAAACAATGTCTTAGTTACTTTTCTATTGCTATGACAAAACGTAATGATGACCATGACAACTTAAGTGTTTAACTGGGCTTATGATTTCAGAGGGTTAGGTTTCATGATTTCAGAAAAAAGGCATGGTGGCAGGAACAGCTGAATCTTGATAACACAAGCAGGATGCAGAAAAAGCTAACTGGGAATGGCTCAAGCCTTTTGAAACCTCAAAGCCCACTCCCAGTGACACACCCCCTAATCCCAAACTTTTCTACCAAGGAGACCACATATCACATACTTGAACATATGAGCCTAGAGGGAATATTCTCACTCAAACTACCACACGTCACTTCCTGCTGTTCTACCTCCTTTTGCTGAAATTAATCGTGAAAGTTATTGCTTATTTCAAATGCTATTTTTTTTCAGTGCTAGGAATAGATAAATACTATTTATCTATTTATCTATCTAGGCTAGAGCCTAGATAAATACTCTGATACTGAGCTATTGGAAGAACCCTGCTGTTTGAGGTTGCAGTCCTCCCAGTCCAGATAGCCATTCTGAGCTGGGTGTTAAGGTGCAGGCCTCCTGCTCTCTGCCTGACTTCATCTATGTCTCTAGACATAGATGCCTCTAACCACGTTTGATATATGGCCTTTGACACAGTTCCCTGCTAGCTCTGCCCTCCCTGCACCTATAGGATAATTAGGTACTGTGTTCCCATTCATATGATAGGAGCCTGCTGTTTAATGCAAATCAAGCGTCCAAAAAGTGCCTAGTTTTAACCAATTATGTACACTGGTACACCTATTCTTAAGCTCCTCCACCCCTGCTCCCTAAGGGGTATATAGACTTTGTTCTCAAGAATTAAAGTTGAACTAGCTCCCTGAAATGAGCTCCCAGGGTGTTTGATCTCCATCATGTTCGCCAGCCTTCCAAGCTTTTTTTTTTTTTTTTGAGACAGGATTTCTCTGTGTAGCTCTGCTGTCCTGAAACTTGCTCTGTAGACCAGGCTGGCCTTGAACTCACAGAGATGTGCCTGCCTCTGCATTGGGAATACTCCCATGCCAGATTCTTAACAGGTAAACAGAAGAATTATTACTGAGTAAACAGAAACCTAAACCCAGCATTCTTCAATTTCTGTTTGTCAGAAATTTCCTTTCTCGTCCCCGAACCACCTCAGGGAAAAGTTGTCTGGTTTCTGATCAGTGAAGCCTGCAACAGATCAAAAGCGCCTACACTAACTCCCAGGCTGCTGTGGCCGGCCTCTTCCCAATACAACTGACAAAGCTTATTTGGCAGGGTGCTGTTCTCTGGTCTCTGAGTCAGCCTGGCAGTTTGTACCCTCCCACTGACTTTCATACCCTGGTTCAGTGGTTTCATTGTGCCTCGCCACAAAAATAGCAACTTTTATCATCTGGAAGGACACAACCTGATAGACTCATTCAGCAGTTTTTTGTTTGTTTGTTTGTTTGTTTTCAAGACAGGGTTTCTCTGTGTAGTCCTAGCTGTTGTTGGGCTCACTCTAATACATCAGGCTGACCTCGAACTCACAAAAATCAGTCTGGCTCCCGGATGCTGGGAGTAAAGGTGTCCACCACGATGGCCAGGGTAATAATTCAGTAGTTCTGATGCATAAATAGTTTAATTTTATATTGCTTCAGAATAATGCTGTTTTATAGAGTTTCAAAAAGACATACATCTTTAATAACGAATAAAGTTTTCATATGCAAGGTCCTGAGTTTAATTCCCAGTACTGAGAAAAGAGGTTTTCATTAAAGTTTAATTTAAAATAGGAGGGAAGGGAAATACATTTGAAGCAACTTAACAACCAACAAACAGCTGAATGGTTTGATACATTTTATTTTCATGGACATTACACAGGTAATAAAACAGTAATTGTGTGAGAACATGGAAACAGATTTCTATGTAACACTCAATGAAAGAGAAAAATTGTGCATTGCCTTTGAACACGTGGGAAACGCCCACAATACTTAGGTGAGAGTTGTAGAAGTGAGTCAAATAACTTTCTCCTATAATCTTGATATACTTTATTAAGAATTAAAATGAAATAACAATACTATGATCACAAGGCAGTGATCCAAAGAGAAGGCAGCGGACTTCTCAGGGAGCCGAGCAGCGAGAAGAATGCATCTTTTTTTCTAGCACAGAAATGAGTTCCTAGAGGACCTGTGCAGGTCTGGGAGTCTCTGCCCGAGGCCCTAGAAGTCTTTGGGCAGGACTTCTTCCTGCCCCAGGCGTCAGCGCACTCTACTGAATTATCTCTCAGCTTCCACACAGAACTCTCTGCCTTCTGTCCCCGCAGCATGCTTCCCACGTCCGCTAACCCCGCTCCCACGCGCGCCTTGCTCCGAAAGCCCGACCCCTAGACTCAGGCTCTGGCTCTGGCTCTGGCCCCGCCCCGCCCCGCGCGGCTCCTCTGCTAGCCGGTGGGGCGCGTCGCGCGCACGCGCAGCGGAGGGCGGCGCGGGCGGCATGGGGACTGCGGCGGCGGCTGCGGCGGCCGGGGAGGGGGCGCGCGGCCCGAGCCCCGCCGCCGTGTCGCTCGGCCTGGGCGTGGCTGTGGTATCCAGCCTAGTGAACGGGTCCACGTTCGTGCTGCAGAAGAAGGGCATTGTGCGCGCTAAGAGGCGAGGTAGGGCGGGCCGAGGCCGGGCCGGGGTCCGCGCCACGCGGCTGCGGGAGCCTGTGCTCATCACACGGGCGGGCTCCCCATTCCCGGCAACCCAGCAGGCATCACCTCCGCGTCCCAAGCGGTCTCTCTTTCGGCGGCCAGGGAGGCCTTCTGCACTCATTCAGGAGCCCTTCACCGGACTTCTTGTCCTGTTCCTATACCCATCCAGTCCTGCAATCCCTACCCCGTGGCGGAGCATCCTGACAGGTGCTCAGCTTGGAGTCCTGCTGCCCAGAGGCCCGCACTCCCCTCCTGTCTTGCAGGGCTTCCTTTTCTTAGGATCCAGAGGTGGGTGGAGCCAGGCCTGCCTTTGCCATGGACTGGGCCTGGGGTGCACTTGGGAGAGCACTTGGTGGTTCGAGGAAGTAAGGGTGTGTGGTGGGCCCGCAGGATGTGCAGGCGCCACTGAGGTGCCCACTCTCACCTTCAGCGCAAGGTCTGTTCTTCCCAGCGGCTTTTGCCCTGGGGTCCTTAGTTGAGTTACCTCTGGTTGATATTTCAACCATCTGAAGCGTGAAGAAAACGTAAAACAGGCGTGCAAATGGGCCTGCTGAGCGTGCCCTGGGTCGACAGGTCACCAGACACTACTTCTTAGTGATCTAGAAATGGGATGAGGCACAGAGCCCTTCTTTGTCCCTGCCATGCCATTGTGTTGAGAGGCCTGTGACAGGCACTGAACACAAGAGGCAGAATACTTTGAAGGGGAAAGTAAACATTGCTTTCAGAGACCAAGAAAGGCTTGTGGTTGGAGCCACAACATCAAGAGCTCTATGGATAAGGACCCCCGGCAGCCAGCATATAGGAAGTAAATACACTTAATAGTTGCAATTCCACAACACATTTGAAAGTTTGACTAACCTGGCCAGGGAGTCAAGAGCCTTCAGAAAAGAGACAAAGAACTGACAATCTTGAAAGTACAAACCCAGCAATGTTTATTTAAAGAAATTAATTTCAAAATGAAAACATTGCAAATCAAATGTAAAACCTAAGTCAAACCAAGTGTGATTTCCCAAGACTACAGATGTGTCGTTAATGTACAAACATATCTAGTACACATCTGACAGCCACACTTAGGGACTGTCTGTCAGTTTGGGCAGGCATCAAGTTTGGGCAGAGGTGTTTGTTGTAACTAAAAATTGAAAACTACATGTGCCTTTTATAGGATTGAATGAGATGGGTACTTGTGTGGTATTCTTGCAAATCCAGCGATTCCAAGATAACTCTGAAATAAGCATGACACAAAACACAGAAACCTCAGCTGAGGAACATCGTACAAAAATACCTGACTGGTCTTCTAATCAAGGCCATGAAATCTGAGAAACCCTCATGTCCAGAAGGAATCACACCATCAAATGTAAGACATTAGAGGAAAGGAAAAAAAAAATGAATACAGATAAAGATAAAGCAATTTTTTAGCAAAAATAAATGTGTTATTTTAGTTCAGTTTTTGTGTTCCTGGGGACTGCTAAATTAAAAAACTAACCTAACTAACTAATTGTTTTTGAGGTTCTGGGTCTAATCGCAAGCACATTTTAAAAAGCCAAAATCCAAATACGTGGATGCTTTTATATATACCTACATACTATATATTTTATTGTATGTATGTATGTATTACTTTAGAAAATAGTCTCTTATTATGTAGCCCAGGCTGCTCTCAAACTCATGATCTTTCTGCCTCAACATCCTGGGTAGCTGGGATTACAAGTGTGTGCCACCACACATGGGTTCGTACTATGCCTTTAAATTAATAAAGTAAAAATGCAATATTCATTAATTTTTAACTTTTCTTACTGTCTACCAGCTGCTATAGGTTGAGATGGTAGTGGAAGGCATTCAGTCTTGCTTTAATTAGTAAATCTACCTTAACAGATTTTTTGAAACTCTTATGTTATATATTATTATAGATATTGAAGCTAGAACAGTTTTAAAATCTATTCTCAGGCCAAATATGATGGCATGTGCCTATAATCCCAGGCTGAGACTCCAAGACCCCATAAAAAAAAAGTAAAACAAACTTCCCATAAACTTTTTTTTACCATATCTGCTTAACAACCAACAGAATTGATAACTATCAAATAACTGAAATGGAAGAGGAGAGAAAAAGGTGATAGGTGAGAATTGGATGGCCACCAGCTACAGTGGCACACACCTGTAATCTCAGCACTTGGGGAGGCAGAGACAGGCAGATCTCTGTGAATTTGAGGCCATCGTGGTCTACAAATCAAATCTAGGAGAGCCAAGGCTACACAGAGAAACCCTGTCTCAAAAAACAAACAAACAAAAAATTGGAAGGCCAAGTTCTTACGTTAAGAGAGATTAAACCTTATGGTTTCTTATAGTAGAACTAACTATGCTTACCTAGAATATTTGACCTTTATTTATTATTTATTTGACAGGTTGTAGCATTTCTAGAAAGCTCAAGCTCAGGGAAGCTAAATTATAATTATAGTTCTTCAACGGAGAGGTTTGGGGACCTAGTGGCTTTAAGTGTCACCTTTAAAGGACATTCTCAAGGAATGGACTCACTGGAGGCCCGGAGAGAGTCTTCTGAAGTACAGGCTCAGGATTCAACTACCTAGCTTCTTTATTGTGCCTTTGAATGACATGTGAGTGAGACTTGGGCAGGAGCTCTTACTCATAATATATTTCACAGGGCATTTGTTGAGGACCTCAGAAGAGACCACAACTGCATATGTTCAACTGCCTTGCTTTATATGATATGGTATTTGCATATAACTGATGACATCCTCTATTCATATTTTATACTGTATATTTATACTTTTAATAATCTGTTAATGACTTACAAAACTTAAAGTAAATGTTATATAAATAGCTGTTACACTTTATGGTTTAAGGGAATGATGACAAGGAAAAAGTTCATACATATTCAGTATGGGCTTTTTGTTTGTTTTTGAGACAGGTTATCATCCCAGGCTAGCCTTCGACTGGTAGCTGAGGATAACCTTGAACTTCTACTCCTCCTGCCTCTACTTTCCAAAGACTAGGATTACAAATATTCACTATAATGCCCAGTGTAAGCAGTGTTGGGAGATGAAATTGAGGTTTTATGCATGCTAGGCAAGCACTCTATCAGTTGAGCTATATCCCTGGCTTTGCATGTGTGTTCTTCAAAAGACTTGTTTGATCATTGTATGTAGAGGGACCAGAGCTGCCTGGAGACCAGGCTCAGAAAAATTGGTTATACAGAACTGGCTGATGGTGTTTCATGATTAGTTACTGAACTCTAAGCAGGATACTGTAGACCAGGAAGAACTGGTTGATCTTTTACAGTTTTCCCTTTTTAAAATCAAGAGCACAATAAAATTCTGCCTTATAAGAATAACTGTCAATGAGGAAATATAGAACAAGTATTGGTAGGGAATTGGAGAATTTAAAACTCTTATGTGGTGCTAGCAGGTAAGTAAATTGATATAGCTGCTTTGGAAAATAGTATGCTTGTTCTTCAAAGTGTTAAGTATAGAAATACCATTTGACCCAGCAGTTCGACTTCTTGGATTATGCAAAGACCTGAAATATTCTGGCCATAACTGAAAGAATTGACAGCAGGGAATCAAGAGATTTTGCATTTTTGGTTATAAAGGCATTATTCACAGAACCAACAGATAGGAGGAGTGACGGTATGCTGAGTTTTCTGTTACTGTAACAAATACCTGTGATGAATTAATAAGAAAAAGTTTACTTTGACTCTTGATTTTGGAAGTATCCTTACACTTACCTCAAGCAGGAGCTAGGAAGAAAAAGGTAGAAAAAGGAAGGACTCAGAGTTCCACATTCTCCTTCAAGTACATGGCCTGAATGACCTAAGACTGTCTGCTAGCCCTGGGTGTTACAGGTCCTGCCATCCCCAGCTGTGCCACAAGCTAGGAACTAAGCCTTGAGCACGTGGCCCCTGGAGGATATTCTAGATCCCATGTTAGCAGATAGCTATCATTCTGCCCTTAAATAATGATGCATTATAACATAAATGAATCTTGAGGACATTCTGCTAAGTGAAATACGCCTGTCCTGAAAGGACAGTCCTGTGTGATGCCCTTTACATGAGGTTCCCAGACCAGTTCAAATTTATGGACCACTAGAGAGTGTACTAATGGTGACCCCCTAGAGTGGAGTGAGAGAGGAATGGAGAACAGTGTTTTAACACCCAGAGCTGAACATTTTGAGGGCAATAGCATTTTAGAGATGAGTTATTATTATTACTTTTCTTGTTACTGTGAGCATCTGTGTGACAGGAAGCATCATGAGGGAGGACAGTTTTGTTTTGGCCCACACTTTAAGGAGATAGTATGTTGTCCCAGGGAAGGCTAGGCTACTTAGCACCGGAAGTGTATATCAGCTGTGTTGAAGTTTGAATGTGAAATGTCCCGCTGTAGTCACCTGTGTTCACTTGGTCAAAGATGGTAGCACAGGGAGGGTTGTGGACCCTTTTGAAGGTAGAGTCTCTCTGGGGGAAGTGAGCTGCTAAGGGCAAGCCTTGAGATTTTGTAGTAGAGCCTATTTTCTGTTCACTCTCACTTTGTGATTTTGGATGGGATGTGACTAGCTGGCCTCCTGTTCTTAGGAGTCTTCCCTGCTATGAGCTACTGTATCCTGTTGAACTATAACTGTTAGCCAGAATAAACTTCTCCTCCTTGAGTTGCTTCTTACCAGGTGTATGGTCACAATAATGAGAAAACAAACTAAGCTCCTGCTGCCAGTGACTTCGCACTGTGATGAACTGCATCCTCACACTGTGTGCCACAAGAGCCCCTTTCTCCCTTAAGCTGCATTGATGGGGTGTTTTTATCACAGGAATTAGAAGAAGAACTAAGAAAACTGGTACTGAGTCAGCAGTGGTGGGAGGCAGAGCCAGGTGGATCTCTGAGGCCAGCCTGGTCTACAGAGCAAGTTACAGGGCAGCCACAGCTGCACAGAGAAACCCTCTCTCGAAAAACAAACACAGA